CTCATGCAGCAGTGCTGTACGATATCTATTATTTATTATTATTAACCGACTTCAAAAGAAGGATGAGTGTCTCATTTCGACTGTGTTCTTTTTTTGTATGTATGTTACGCGACAACTCATTTATGAACAAATTTTGATGATTCTTTTTTTGTTGGAAAGAGGGTACGTCAACAATCGTCCCATTTCAATAAAACTTGGGAAATAGATGTAATTCCACGAACTTTTGAGGTTGGTTTTAGTACTCTGTACTGAGATTATTAAAACTAATAAACTAAGCCGTATTGACTGTTAATATGGCGGGTGTAACTTTGATTGCTATAACTTCGTTCTGATGGAGGTAAATTTTTTTTAAGCACCCGTCATTCTGACTCTCGCTTAACATCTATCAGTATGGCCCAAACAAATTGTGGATCCAAGTTTCTAATCTCTTTTTTTCATGATACCAAGTGAGTAAGACACGCCTGTCCATAGCAGGTGTAGTGCTACTTAGAGCTTTAAACCGCAAGATCGCAATGGTAGTCCATTGTGCTCGTCACCCTAAGACATAAGTTGACAAGTCCCATGTACATACCTCTAATTTCACCAGCACCTTTACCCTTCAAAACCAGAACACAGTAATGATCACATTATTCCTGGGCGGCAGAAATAAGTACGATGGCAGTACTTCCTAGGACGAAATCTTTCACAAGGAGCTATACTGCTACTGGAGACTATAAAACAATTTCCATAAAAATAACTTGTTACAAATAATTTGGTTCGTTCCGTAGCTTAGTTGGCATAGCGTTTCTGCCACGGTTTGCTAGGAGACGCTGGTTTGAATCCGGCCGGATCGAAGGAATTTTTTCTAATCTTTGTATCAATAATTATAACAAAATAACTTGTTAGTTCAAGTATTTATACTTAGACACTAACAATTTATACTTGTAATTTGTTTATTGCCTATTGATAACATTTATCAACCAACTGCAAGATAGAAAGAATTTGAAATACAATAGTAACCTGATTATGATGATTATGAAAAACATCGTTATAAAAGTTGTCGCAAATTATTTCCTACATGTATTTTAAATCCTCAACTTGCGTTAATAATAATAATGCACACACTCAATATAGTTCCGCAGCGCACTAGGGAAACCCTGTGTCAGGGGTGCCATGCACACACACATAGACAACTACACACTACACCCAAACTCACGAGAGAAATAAATGTAGGCCATACAAATATTTCTCCCGGCCCGGAAATCGAACCTGTGACCTCTGCGTAGCAGTCCGGCATGGTAAACGTTGGGCCACGGAGGCAGTTACATTAATGCTAGCGTGGGGAACGTTGTATCCATCTTTTCATTAGAGGAAACCCGTGCCCAGTAGTGTGATGCATGTTAGTTGATACAGTGCACGGTAAAGTAATGCATACACTGCAGAAAACCGAAATGGAAGCACTTGGAGAAGGCTTTTAGCAATTAACTCCAATATTATAATATTTTTAGCACTATTTTATTATCAATCTTAAAATATTTAGCGATAGTACGTATACAGTTGCAGACAAGGATCGAAAGAGCTACCTACCTGTTAAAGACGAATCAGCGCGAGCAAAATTGAACACAACATTGCATGATTATAAAGTAGAATTCGATATGCACTGTTTCGACACGTTTCGACACCTGTGACCTTAAAAACATGTCGGTGTTTGCTTGCAACTGTGCATAATCGCCAAGTATTTTAAGACCTTTGTTTAAATAACCCTAAAAAACATAGTTAATTGTCATATTCAAATTCTTTCAGCAAGGATTTTTCAAGCTAACTCAATGGCGTACAAATAAAAAGCCACGTTAAACATTGAGTTAGAAGGTAACTTTTCCCTCATACTGAACTGTCTCAACATAGCTATGATGTAGAATGAGTTTAATTATCTGCTTGGCTCCATAATAGGGTTGATAAACTTATTCCATAATTTTCATTATAAATATCGTAATACACTATATATTTATTGAGATTTTTTTTTAAAACAACTCCACTAGTTTTGTTATGGTTATGAATACAAAGATCTCATAAAAACTTTCGTCGATCCGGTGGGACATGAACCCACGTCCAAGCTGCACCGTAACATTGCTTTAACCACCTGAGCCATGGGTCCAGTTACCGAGTCTCCTATGTGTTTCTGTTATAGATCTTTGTACTGGCTTTCGGCATTCGACGCCGCTAGTGACATCTAGTGAGAGATTTTTTAATAACCTCAACGCAGCGGATACCTTTACAGGTATCACAACTGACGCAGATGTCGCTTTTCGATCAAATGTATTTATTGAGATTTTTTTATTGAAATAATTCCATTATTTTTGCTATGATGAATACAAAGATCAATTTATTTATATATTTATAAGGTCAAGATTAAAATACATAGTAGTAATTAAATATTATATTCGTCATATATAAGTTATAATGACTGCATTTCGTTGGCATATCGGTGATGATACTAAGTTCAAAGTTTAAATAAGCTGTTCGTTTATTTAACCGTAAGTCCGTGAGCTGCTTTAAAAACAATGCAAATACACTTACGGTTAATGAAATTTGGGTGTTTACAAAATGTTGAAATGTAATATAATATATTATAGACATTTAATAACGCACAGGTTCCAGGTTCAATTCCCGGGCCAGGAGATATATTTGTATGGCCTACATTTATTTATCTCGTGACTTTAGGTGTAATTAGTGGTTGTCTATGTGTGTGCTCATGGCACCCGCGATACAGGATTTCCCTGTTGCGAGGCTATAATTGTGTGCATTAAAAAAAATGAAAATAATTAACAACAACTCACAACAATTTATTTTACAAAAAAATATATATTCACTCTTAACAGTCAAATAACTGAATTACAAAATTACAAAAATTGCAAAATTGCTTTACAAAGTGACAATAGTCCTAACTGTTAGTTTTTTTTTGCTGTAGTTGTAACGGAGTTATAATAATAATAAAAAAACGGTGTAACTTGGACCTTTTCAAGGCGAGAGTGAATAGTTATTATTTAGACGTGCGTGCTCCATCGTCGCCGATCTCATCGTCACTTTCCATCAGGCGCGATGGAGATGAAATACACACTCATATTTTAATAATAAAAAAATACTATTGCAACAAATGTTTTAAATTTTTACGGTAAAATATTAGATAAGTACATAAAGAAAGAAAATTGACGAAACCACGCAACTTGGTAAGGGCCGAAAAAAATGAGGACGTCATTTATGAAAGACCAGTTCACGAGTACCCCTAATCGACTAACGCGTATTATATCATAGATGCAAGTTGATGTAATAAAAGTTGGGTCGAGAAAATTGCAATTGGAAGGCTGTGGTCTTTGTCTACCCCTATGGGAACAGGGCGTGAAGTATATCTATGTACAGTCAAGAGCATCTCAAGCTTGACACTTTGTACTTTGGACCGTTCTTATCGTAAGCGGCATAGAGTAGGATTTAAATCTTAAGTGTCAAGTTTGACGTGCTCTTGACCCTGTACGTAAGTAAGTAAACGCAAAAACTAAATTTTGAGAGTTCAACTCTTAATCCTATTTCGTTTTCATTAAAATAAATTGAAGATGGCACGAACTTATTGCCTGTGAGTGTATGAAACCTTAACCGACAAAGAAACGCGATAAAAATTACGTATCTTTACTACCTGACGTTGTAATCATAAATAGAATATGTAACTGTTATTTACTATTATTATCTTTTATTGATTGTTTATTTTTAAAACTATAAATGTCTAATTTACAATCCAGACACAATTTGTTTTAATAAATAAATAATATCTTTTATATAATATAAATTAACTTACTTGAATTAATAGCTCATTTCATTGCTACGAGTCTTGGTAAAAGAAAAAAAAACACTTTTTCTGTTCTCTTTGTCTTTTCAAATTGGAACACTAACAAAAAAAAATTGGCAGCGAAATATAGCGCCTTCTTCTACATTTAGAACAAAGACACAGTTTCAATGCTTTTCCATAAGAATGCGACATCCTATTAATTTTTCTAGTGAGATGACATGACCGATTGCCGATCCGTTCGTAGTGCGTTACATAACTGATGCAATAACTTTGATTCGCGTCCAGGGTGAGCCCGTTGCATCTCCCATTCCCAGCTCCTTGTTGGGAGGAAGCTACCCACCTCGTCGACGGTAGGTGGGGAGAGATCGCCCTGTTGCTCCAGCAACCCCCCTACTAAGGGAAGGTATACATTTGGCAACAATTTTGTTGTCAATAGCGGATATTTCAAAAATAATTTTATTCTTATAACTTTTATTATTTAGATACTTAAATGTAATTTACATTTGGACAACCCTGTATTTCTTGATTTACAACAAGCATTAACCACGTTGATAAAAATGTTGGTTTTATCACGTTTTATATTAAGTATATAACTTTACAATTTGCCTACGCCATATACAAAAAAATGCGGCTGGTTTTATGGAAAATAATAACTTCATAAGTAATAGAATATAGAAGTTTATCTGCATATACCTCTATATTATGTTTAATATAAAAAATATGCAATGCAAGTAAGCTATATCTTAAGAAATACTCAACATTTAAAACGGTTTTAAAATAAACCATTCATAGTAATTTTAAAGTTTTAACGTTGACGAATAGCAATCATAATCCCAAGGACGTAATCTAGTTTCCCGATTTGCTATTACGATTTATCAGCAACATTTTAACCACATCTTTTATATATAATAGGCATAATCATTCGATTTCAAAAACAATATTATAGTAACTTTAAGTTCACTTTTGTATTTTACAGGAAGAAAATAATATTATAAGAGCAAAGTTATACATATGTTCCTAATTTTTCAATAGTTAGTCTCAATATGAAACCTAAAAACTGTTCTTTAACTTATTATAATCACGTAATTTAACAAAGAATTTCCTTTCACTCAGCATTCGAATCTGACACGTACTCTCGATTTTAATACAACAATAATCTATTTTAATAATTTTATACACTTACCGTTGGGATTTTCAATCCGACATCACTTTCAATTTGCATGTTTTTGATATTATCATGTTATTTAATATTTTAAAATACGTTCCCGCGTTCACGAAGTGTAATAGAATTACCTTGTTGAGAAGTAAAAGTGTTAATGTAAACGCGGCGCGCTGCGCCACCGAGCGCTTGTATTCTTAGTGAAGTCTCGATACTGAGTGGAGCTCGGTGGGGGCTGGCGATGGCGCGGCCCCCCATCACGGCCACCCTGACTGTCCACCCCTGATGCACTACGTCACAATCAAAATAAAATATCAAACGTCCACGTTTATTGATTGCGTGTCCACGTTTATTTTCAGCACACTTTTGAGGAAACAATGGAGATAATCAGGATTAGTGCCTATCTAGATAATTTGATTTGGCTACTTATATTTATGTAATTCACTACTTATAAGTTACCTTTATAGACAGGTAGTTATTTATTATTTCGCATTTAATACCCCGACTAGATTTCATTTTTGTATTAATAAAAATGTACAACAATAATTTCTTACTAAACATAATTAACATTATGTTACATTAATCTACTTACTTTGATACAATACATACGTTTTCATCCACCCTCTCAGACAGAATAAGTTAAAGTTAGTCTGTTGGAAAGTATCAACAAGTGAGTTTGCCTCTACTATTGTCACCTCGTGCGTTAAGCTTCTTCTCCTTTTTTGTGTTTCAGAAACCATTATCGAGTCCTTAGGTTTTCGCGATTGTTAAAACACATCGGAAATGAAACTATATTTTCGGATCTAAATTGCGCATATTTGTTTTTTAACGTAACCATAAGGCCGATATAAACGCCCGAACGTTTCAGGCCTCTTAAAACTAGATTTTAAAAAAACGTGACCATCGGACTTGTAAAGGGGCCGAAATGTTGGTTTCTTTAAAAAAAAAATACGCTATCAAGATCCGAAAAATCAGTTTCCGATGTCATTATTGAATAATTTCGATCAATTTGCTTGAACCAGTTAATTTAAAGTCATGACAATTACATAAAGAAACAAATGGTTTTTGTTTTCTTTTCTTTGAAAAGATATCGAGTTCAGCTGTGATCATGGAACCTGTAAAGATCGAAATGTTGGTTACTATGAAAAAACAAATCACACACTTGGTATTACACAAGTCACAAAGACATAAAAATAACACGAACTACATGAAACAAATTATGTTCAAGTGAACTTTTATAAGTATTTTAAAGGTCTCTACTGGAGAGTTGTAATTTTGCAGATGCGGCATTATTCAACCAAGGCTATGAATTTAACAATGTTTTTAAATTGCACTTCCAATTTTAAAACTTTTTTAAAGAATTTTCCTTATAAATTTAGTATGAACAGTATGCGAAGTGTACCAACAGTATGCGAAGTTCCGTGGATACTTAAAATAACTCCGCCATTTTGCTTTGTACGTTATGGTTGTCAATTATCTTTCGCAAAACCTCGTAAAATCTTAGAAAAATTGTAATTTTTAAGAAATCTTATTTTGCTACTTTGGAGTGCAAAATCCATGATGGTGTGTCTTATTTCATTTAATTTCAACAAATTTTAAATTTTCTGTTTATCGTATTATTTTTTTGTTACAAGAAGCGAAAGTAAACAATGTGGTCGCTTCTTTTTTTAAGAACTAAATACACGTCTCGAATTCGTTGTTGTTCAGCTATTGGCCACTAGATGGCAGCACTTTTCAATATAAAATAAAACTCGTAACTTCAATTATTGGTATTGAATTTGCAACGATGTGCCAACTGGGTAAAATTTAAATTACATTAACAGAGGAAATGAAACTATTTTTCCGGATTTAAATCGCGTATATTTGTTTTTTCAAACAAACCGACGTTTCGGGCCCTTTACAGGTCCCATGGTCACGGTTGACTGTAAAGGGCCCGAAACGTCGGTTTGTTTGAAAAAACAAATATACGCGATTTAAATCCGGAAAAATAGTTTCATTTCCTATGTGTAACAATGCGAAAACCTAAGAACTCGATATGATTACATTAACAGTTCAAAATTTGTAACTTCTTTTAAATTAGAAACTACGACCTGTCATTATCAAGATTTTAAAGTGTTCATAAATGAATGAGTGAGTTTTGGCGACGGCGGTTCTAATAGTAATCGAGGCATAAGGCGCTTCCATTGTTTTCTTCTTCCGTGGTCACAGCAGACAAATTTCGAAAAAAACTTGGCGAAATTCGATAGTAAACAGTTTGTTGATTAAGCAGAATCTTAACGTTTGTCATGTAAAGAGTAGTCAGAGCCAGTACAGATCGAGACTTCGATAAAACACAGAAAACATCTAAATATTGCAACTTACTAGTTAACAATCATAACACATAACAAAGATATTATATTGACACAGAAAAAACAAGAACGCGTTTCGTTAAATTCAGCTGTTTCAATCATAACAGACGTGACAGGTTTTGATTTGTGGTTGTTTTTTATGTGTGCCGATGTTAAGCGACACGCCTGTCCATAGAGTTGCCACTCTGAACTTTAAACTGAAAAGATCACACGGGATCACAAGGGATACTGCCACTGCGCCTTTCATCCTGAAACATAATTTGTCAAGTCCCATTGTGCCTGTAATTTCACAAGCACCTTCATCCTTCAAAGCCGGAACGCAGTAATGCTCACATTACTTGGCGACAGCAATAGGTTTGATGGCAGTACTTTCCTGGACAAACTCTTTCAGTAGCTCAACTGTTACCAAAAATAAATTTTTAAACGATAATGTTATGAATCCAATCGATAAAAACAGGAACGTGCACTAATAGAGATTTCAAAATCTTTCGACTTAGCTTTCTGAGTTAATGAATTGTTTGGATATTAGATATTTGGTAACATTTTCTGTAGGCATGGAGGATGTCAAATAATTTTGAAATACGAGAATTGGTCCACTGTATATCGGGACATTAAGTATTACACAATATGGTATTGAAGTCGAGAAACTTTAAATGAAGTTGGCATTCATTTATTTATTTTTCAGGGATAACAAACAATTGTACATAGTATGTTTAGATTAAGTGTTGATTAATTGTAACATAAGTATACCTACAATGAACAACATTCCACAACACTACTATACAATTGAAATTGACATGTAGGTACGATGGGTAAAATAGGGGTTTAATATTATAATTATAGCTTTTTTAAAATTTAGAAGCAGGTAAATAAAATATCGTCGGCGATAGTGCAATTATATAGATTAGGAGTTTCCTTTTCGGTAATTTAGTGGCCAATTCAAATACTCATATATGTCGTGG